TTGGTTTATGAACGGGACACTACAGGTGGGCAGCTATGCATTGGCTATGTTGATTCGGATTATGCCGGGGATTTGGATAAGCGCCGGTCTACGACAGGGTATGTGTTCACTTTGACCCGTGCGCCGGTGTGTTAGAGATGCACCTTACAGTCTATGGTGGCTTTGTCTATGACGGAGGCAGAGTATATGGCAATTACGGAGGCTGTGAAGGAGGTTATTTGGCTTCGAGGACTTTTGGAGGAACTTGGTATATCGCAGAGGTCCGTCACTATTCATTGTGATAGTGGTATATCGCAGAGGTCCGTCACTATTCATTGTGATAGCATGAGTGCTATCTATTTGGCGAAGAATTAGGTTTTTCATATTGTGATAGCATGAGTGCTATCTATTTGGCGAAGAATTAGGTTTTTCATGCGCGGACGAAGCACATTGATGTTCGTTATCACTTAGTTCGAGATGTTCTTAAAGATGGCGATGTGGAGATTGTGAAGGTTCACATGAAGGATAATCCGACGGATATGCTCACAAAGGTGGTTCCGAGCAACAAGTTTGATCATTACAGAAACTTGTTGAATATTTGTGATTATTGAGGCCGTTGGCGGCCATTTGGATGAACTACGGGCGACTTGATCCCTTGGGAGAGGGGGTACGTAGGCAACCATAGTGGTGTAGCCGTATTTGGAGAGACGACACATTGATGCTCTTGGTTTGGTGTCGGCTCAGTTTTGGCAAAATTTGCCGAGGTGAAGAATTGTGGAGAAATCAGAAAAACCAGATTTTTTGGTATAAGTCGATTCATGCACAAGGCTAAGTCGACTTATGGTAAGTCGACTTGTTAGTGTGCACAAGTCGACTTACGATCTGCACTGGAGTTGTGTTTTTTTTCTCTCTGCCAAGTCGACTTATCAGGCCTGATAAGTCGACTTACGAAGTGTGCTCCAGTTGCTGTTTTTCTCTCTGCCAAGTCGACTTATGCTCTCTGTTAAGTCAACTTACGATGGTTTTATTGCATAATCAGGTTTCCTGTTTGCAGTCTGATTAGGTTTTTGTTTTGATATAAATAAGGAAACGATTTGTTAGGGGTTTTTATCAGAGATTGAGGAATCTTTTGAGCATTGTGAGAGGGAGATATTGTGAGCAAGGTGAGATCTTTGGTTGAGGGTTAGTTTGAGAGTTTTGTAATCCTTTGTACTCTCCTTGAATTAGTGAAATCTCCCCATCCTCTCCCCGTGGACGTAGGCAAGTTACCGAACCACGTATATCTCTGTGTTTGGTTTGATTTGTCGTAATTAGCTTGATTTGTGCAAGAGTGTGGCTTTCTTCTTCCGTGATCACAAGTTCGTTGTGTGTGCGTGCAACGCTTTGCAATTTGGAATTTGTGATTATGGGTGAAGAAGTTGGTGAAAGCAGCAAGATGACAAGCACAGTTCAAGTGGGTTTTCAGAACACTAAGATTAGTGTAGTGAAATATGACGGCAAGATCAATTTTGGTTTGTGGATGAGTGACGTACAGGATGCGCTCAATGCTCAAAATCTGGAGGAGACCATCATGGTCGATGTGAGGCCACCTAAATATAAAGAGGCGATATGAGAAAAGATGAATCGAAATGCTTGCGGGGTGATCAGGTCTTGTTTAGAACAAGAACTGAAATATGATGTAATTGGGGTGACGTCTGCAATGAAGATGTGGGAGATTCTCAACAACAAGTATCTCACGAAGAGTGTTGAGAACATGTTGCACTTGCTGCGAAGATTATTCAGATTTTAGATGTCCAGAGGCACCTCGCTTGCGGCTCATGTGAACAACTACACTAAGTTGTTGTCGGACTTGGCGAACGTGGATGAGAAGATCACAAATGAGTACAAGCCTATTATTCTTTTGGGCTCCTTACCGGATGAGGAGTATGATACCTTCGTGCTTACGTTGCTGAACGGGAGATCTTCTATCACTTATAGTGAAGTGACTAACGCATTGACAAACTATGATTTAAGGAGGAAGGATAAGGAGACTTCCTGCGCTAGTATTTCAGGAGAAGCCTTGTCGACGAGAGGTAGAAGCTCATATCAAAAAGGTGGAAATAGAGGGAGGTCAAAGTCAAGAGGTCGTCACCAGCTTGGAAAGAACCAATGTGCATTCTACAAAGAGCAAGGACATTGGAAGAGAGACTGTTCGAAAGTCAAAGAAAAGGAGAATAGCAAGAATAAGGGCCCGAAGGCCAATGAGGTGAATGTTGCGAAAGGCGATGATTCCGATGATTCGAGCTTTTCTCTTTTGATTACTCCGGAGGTGAACCATTTGGATGCATCGGAGTGGATGCTTGATTCTGGCGCTACTTACCATTCGGAGCAGATCCTCCAGTTATACTTCGAGCATATATTCCCGGGATTAAGCATGGGCCTTTACCAGCATGTGCAGAGGGTTACAGACTCAAGCAGACAGAAAAATACATGCTTGCGAAAAAACGATTGGATGAATGGGGCCCACAGATTGAAGAGATTTTATCTGATGCAAAAAATGAAATCAGACAAAGATTTGGTGAGTTTGATCAAAAATTTTCATTCCGTGTCTATTATTCACATATAGGTTTTTAGCAGACAGAAAAATACAATTTGATCCTCGCATATTATTCACATATAGGTTTTTAGCTCAACTAGTGACAACAAGATATATGGTGACAATATACCACAAAACTAGACCAATGCCAGCACAATACAATTTCATACAGTTATATGACATCATGCACTACTGTAGTGGGTTGTTTGATGCATTGGTCTGTTAGTCAGAGGCTCATAGTTTGAAGTAGTGAAGTTTGTCATTCATTGACTTACTTTACCTGATAACAGGAAATACTCACTGGAAGTTTCTTATGGTGCTCATCTTTAGGTTTTAGTTGAGCTTTTCCTTTCTAGTTGAGGTTGGATATCTGCATACAAATTAGTTATAGGAATTTTTTTTGCATAGATTAGTTATATTGCTGCCTTTAAAAATACTTGGCTTTTATTTAATGGAGAAAGTTATTGATCATTGAATGTTTGGAGTTTGATGTAAATCATTCATTTAGTGAGCTAGTATAGTACGATGGCATGTCAAAGAACCAACTATGTGATTAACTTGTGTGATTAACTTGTGTATTTAGGAATGAGCTCATTCTTGAAAACCTTAAGATGTCAAAGAACCAACTATGTGATTAACCTATGTCTGCTCACATATTCTTTCACTCTTCAGATTTCGAGTTAATCAGATACCATTGAAAGGTTTGTGGGAATTGTTTCAACTATTTATTAGCACTTAGATCTTATTCACATGTACTTTTATGTTGCACAAAACACCCTTCAACTATTTATTAGCACTTAGCCCTCCTCAGTTGGGGAACTATTTCATCTTTTATTTTACTTGTTCAGGTAAATATCTTTTATTTTTGAAAGGCCAATTCTTAAATTTATTTTTTTGCCTTCTAGGAAGCTCTGGAAAACACATATTCTGAGGTTGTTGCACAGAGCCAGGAGCCCCTGACTAGAGAGCAAAATTATAATGTGAGCCATTTAGTTTGTGGACTTCCCAAAAAAGGGAGGACCAGGTGGATGGGAGTTGGAGCTCAGAGGGTGTCTGCACAATTCCAGCCTCCGCCGATTTCAACACCATCGACTATGCCACCGGGGCCCTCTTACATGCCGCAGGAGGATTGCACTCCGCAGGCGATGCAGCTTGTTTCCTCTGTGATGAATATGTTAGATGGTCAGATTCCCGAGGAGATGTGAGAGGATATTCAAGAGGAGCTTATGCGAGTGATCCAGCCTACTACTACTTTTGCGATGGTTTCTAGGCAAATAATAAAATCTTGTAGAAGGCGGGTTCCTACTCGGGTGCAAAGCCAGATTATGAACTTCTTGGCCACTCAAAAGGCATTTACTGGTAGTGGAGAGAGTAGCAGACATGTATACTTATTATATATGTAAAACATGATTACACACAATATTATGTGATTCTAAATTTAAATTATTTTTTTGTTAGAGTGGAGATGATGCTATTGGGAGCACGAGTCGTAGGGATGGAGCCGCCAGTGGCAACGCGGACGATGACATGGATAGGGCGGATGACCTATCTTAGTGAGTTATATCCTAAACTCGTGTTTGTATATTGTAGACATCTTTATAGTTGAGATTATGATATGCGTGTATGGTTTGTTGTGGAAATTTTTGTGGATTTAGAACTTATAATATGCGTGTATGGTTTATTGTGGAATTTTTTGTGGATTTAGAACTTATGATATACGTGTGTATGGTTTGTTGTGGAAAGTTTTGTGGATTTAAAACTTATCGTGAAAATTGAATGTACATATTTCGAATGTTTGTGAAAATTGATTGGATGAGAGACAATGTCCAAAATTGGATTGTATATATTTCAAGATGTTTTTGGAATGTGCAAGAAATATCGTTTGGAGATTTGTATGTACAGGGCACTGATATAAACAACAGAATTTTTTTTAGCTGTTAATGTCTATCGCTGACGGGATACCCGTCAGCGATAAGTATCGCTGACGGGATTCCCGTCAGCGATACCTTAATTTTAATGTCTCTCAATTATAAATGTCTCTCAATTATAATTTTAATGTATATGCAAATACCTTAAGTCAGCGATAAGTATCGCTGACGGGATTCCCGTCAGCGATACCTTAATTTTAATGTCTCTCAATTATAAATGTCTCTCAATTATAATTTTAATGTATATGCAAATACCTTAATTTTAATGTCTCTCAATTATAAATGTTGTAACGTGATATTGGATATGAACTACCACCGAAGATAACACAATGTGCTATCAAAAGATAGAACTAATAAGGTCCACCAGTCAATGTGACTAACAAGATGGATCTTCTTACATGTCTATATATTGATAGCTTATTTAGCAAAATGAATTGTCATCTCAAAGAAATTTTTTCATACTATAAGCATACAAGAAGTAGTTTGGACCTTTTTTCTCATCTCATAGTGCTTAGACCATGCATGAAGTGCAAGATGGAAATGAGTTGTCATCTCATAGAGCACATGGTGAGTCATCATATGTTTATTTATTGATAATCAATTTAACAAAATGATCTGTTATCATATCCATCTTTTCACCATCTTATAAGTATATGGCAAGTATTTCAGAGTAAGGTTAGCAGTGAGGGAGTAGGGGGTGGTCCCAACAAAGCTGTGGGGCCACCCCCCTACTCCCTCACTGCGAGTTGGCCCGTCACGAGCCAAATAGCATTTTGGAAAACTAGGTGGGTTTTGCATTCGGTTCTTGTGCGTTTATGTATGTTTTATTTGTTTCATAATATTAATTCGCAGTGTTTGAAAGGAAAATCGTTAAAATCATACAGGATGAAGGCTCTACTAGTCCAGGGAGTAACGAAGAGAAAGTTGGTACTGGATTAAAGGTCATTGAACAAAGAGATTGATAGATAGAAATTTGATAGGGTTATTACGATAATAGCTCCTTCTATCTTTAGTATTTTAAAATTAGTCTCGCAAATAATTGAAATGCTATTAGCTAGGTTCTTAATTTTCATAAGTTGTTTTAAATTAATCACTCTAATCAAAAGTAGAATTAGCAATTTTACGTATTAATTTGAAACAGTACTTGTGAGACCTTTTCTTCTATTGAAACACTTATGAGATCTGGGTGACATACATTAGCAATTTTATGGTTTGAGAGACTAATTAAAGAGCTTAAGAAATGAGAGACCTAATTGCCAATTTTAATGATTTGAGGGGCTAATTTCAAATTACTAAATATTTAAGCGACTACTATCAAAGTAATCATTTTTAAAATTATTTTAATTTTTTTCTATATATCAATTAATTTTCATTTTTGACTTAAGTACTTTCTGTTCTAAGCGAATGATCAACTAGTTAGATTTATTGATAATAGGTAATAGGGATGACGATGGTTCAATAAAATGTCAAATTGCTCACATATTTATTGAGCAGTGATTTCTTATTATTCTTTTGCACTTTACATCTTTGTCTAATCAACGCGTAGGCATTGCCAAAAAAGATATATATACAATGAGGGCAAATTAAATCTGCTCATAAAGAACTAATTTGTGACTTAAGGTACATATTTGGGTGTTCTAGACCTCTGGTGTAGTCTTTTAAAGGTGGCGGCCCGGGCCCGGCCGGGCCGTGGCCCGGCCCGGCCCGGCCTCGACCCGGAAACCCGAGCCAAGTCCGGGCTCTGGGCCGGGCCCGGGCCGGCTCTTTTGTGCCCGGCCCAGAATAGTAGTTTTTTTAATTTTTTATTTTTATATATTATATTATATATGTATATATAAATATGTATAATATATGTATATATAATATATTTTTATATATGTATAATATATGTATATATAATATATGTATATATAACATATTTCTATATATGTATAATATGTCATATGTGTGTATATATATACTCTCTCTTAGTATATAAGTATATATAAGTATACTCTCTCTTATATAAGTATATATATGTATAAGTATATATAAGTATACTTTCTCTTATATAAGTATATATAAGAATACTCTCTCTTATATATGTATAATGTATGCATGTATGTATATATATACTCTCTCTTAGTATATATGTATATATAAGTATACTCTCTCTTATATAATATATTTCTATATATGTATAATATGTCATATGTGTATGTATATATATACTCTCTCTTAGTATATAAGTATATATAAGTATACTCTCTCTTATATAAGTATATATATGTATAAGTATATATAAGTATACTTTCTCTTATATAAGTATATATAAGAATACTCTCTCTTATATATGTATAATGTATGCATGTATGTATATATATACTCTCTCTTAGTATATATGTATATATAAGTATACTCTCTCTTATATATGTATACTCTCTCTTATATAATATATTTCTATATATGTATAATATGTCATATGTGTATGTATATATATACTCTCTCTTAGTATATAAGTATATATAAGTATACTCTCTCTTATATAAGTATATATATGTATAAGTATATATAAGTATACTTTCTCTTATATAAGTATATATAAGAATACTCTCTCTTATATATGTATAATGTATGCATGTATGTATATATATACTCTCTCTTAGTATATATGTATGTGTGTGTGTATACTCTCTCTCTTAGTATATAAGTATAGTATATTACAACGGTTACTTCCCCATTGGCCCAACGAGCAACGGCTACAGGGTTACTTATGCGATTCTCTCTCTCTCTTAAATTTTAACTTATAAATATATACAATATATTTACATATAATATATGTATATACAATATATAATTACATAATAATTTAGAAGTATATACTAATACATAATTATATAAAATATAATAATATTAAACTAATTTTTAGCATTTTTTATCAAAAAAAAAAGAAAAGAAATTTAAAAAAATCTAGGTGGAATGTACTTATCTATTGTGATGCGATGAATTCCAAAATAAATTTATACTTGTAATTTGTAAATGATTTATTAATTATTAATAAAGAATTTATTTTTATAATTTTTTATTTATAATTTATGTCATTTTAAGTGATTAATAAAATTATTATTTTTTTTGTTTTTTTATAATTTAAAACTTAAATAAAATTTAAAAATTTGAAAAAAAAAATTGAAAAAAAAGAAAAAACCCGGGCCGGCCCGGAACCCGGCCCGGTCGGGCTCGGGCCCAGACCCGGCCTGGGGTACCTTTGCCCGGCCCGGGCCCGGGTCCGGGCTCCGGTTTTGCCCGGCCCGGGCCCGGATTTCCGGGCCGGGCCGGCCCGGATGGACAGGCCTAGGTTTAGTCTTTTAAAAAGCGGAAACGCAAGGCACAGCGCTAGACCTTTTGATGAAGTGAGGTGTAAGCTTTGAAAGATGAGACATAAGCTTCATGAGCTTAAGTATTTTAATTTTAAATTTGTTAAATTTATGAGCATATAATATATAGTGATATAATAATTACATTCATGTCCTGATTAGTAAATCAGAATTAAATATGTGAAATATAGAAACGAATCATAATAAATTATGCTATATGTATGTATATTTTATTTACAATCATAGGGTCAAATTGGAAAGATATATGGCATTTTAATGTTAGTTTAAAATTCTTTTATATCCTTCTATCTTGTCTAAAGCGTGAGCTTCAAAAGAAAAGAATTTTATGAAGCTTGAAACGCACACTATAGAGTGATGAGGCGTAAGCTTCAACGGATACATAGCTTAACTTTGGAGTTTTAAAGCTGTAGGCGTCAAAAATTGCCCATAAGTCCCCGCACGCGGCTCGAGGCAGAGAGAAGATGATAAACGTTGCTATTCGAGTCACAGAAGCTCATTTAACAACGACAAACGCATGAAGTGAGTCGACGGACCATGCGAAGCAACGAAATTTCGGAATAACGGAAACACGAATGGACCGGGAGCTGCACGTCGCTTACAAAAGAAGAAGCGTCCCTCATGTCCTGTCTACTTCACATGTAATTCAACCATGGGAGCTTGTAGATCTCCTCGTTAGTTTTCCAACGCATCTTGAACCGCGTAATTTCGAGATTGGATGATGAAGTTACGGCGGAAACAGACACAACGCGTGAAATAACGCGCCAAGCCTCGACGAGACACCAAGAGGTGTCTCGGTCAAGACTTGGCCGAGACACCAATGAGTGTCTCGGTCAAGGCTTGTCGCGCCAAGCTTGACCGAGACACCAAGAGGTGTCTCGGCCCAAGGTTGGCCGAGACACCCATGGGTGTCCGTAGACCCGAAAATCAGATTTTGGCAGATTTAAGCTGTCTTTCGACCGTTAACCGTCTGGATTTGCTCCAACTGATAAAATATCATCCATGAACGTGGTTAAGTGGTTACAACTAAAGATAAGATCGAATCGATAGTTCTTATCCGAAAATAGGGGTCCCTAAGCCTATATATACAGCCCTATGGCCTTCATTTTTTCAGATCTGGAATTCTCGAGCGTCGGCGAAGCCCTGCTGAATTGAGGACTGAAGAGCCATGAATTTTAGAGAGGAGGTGAAGACTTCAGCGAATTCTTCAGCATAAAGAAGAGGAGTTCGTCAGATCTGCAGCCCGGTTCTTTGCCTTGAGATTGCCCCGTTGTGGTGCTCTCGAGAAGAGTGATTATCTCGCTATTGCCAAAATAATTATTTTGGTTTCTTGATTCCTTCATGAATCAACAAAACTTCGGATCTGATCTGATCATTCGGTGGTCCACGGATTAACCCCGACACATGCAAAGATCCTACGTAAGCAGCGGACGATAAACGCCCGTTGCACTGTTTGATGAGAGTTATACTTTTTTTTGTTTTCATTGTGTAAAGGTCTTATAAAAGGACTAACTTTTGTTTTTATTGTAACGTTTGAAGTTGTAATAACTACATCAATGAACAAATTGACTTTCTCCCCAAACAAGTTGGCGACTATAGTGGGAGCCAACAACTTTGCGGCGAAGCTGTCGTGCCGCAACCAGCGATCAAGACACTGATGAACGAAGAGGTCGAGTATGAATTTGACTAGCAAAAGTTTGAGGAGTACGTCTCCTCCTCCTCCAGATCTGTCTCTCATTGAAAGTACATGAAGGCCTCCTCCTCCCGGAAGATCCGCTGGTTTTCAGATCTGAGGACTCAAGAAGGTAATCTCCCTGCTACTGCTGCTACAGATGCACCTCGTAACGATCCGTCGGCGTCCAATGGAGCCAGATCTGTAGATCTGAACTCCTTTTCGATCAAGGAGTTGACTACTGAAGATGCACCAACTCTATCAAAAAGTTCACGTCAAAGGCAATGCCAACGCCTCGCGCGCCAATTCGCCAAGGCTTTAGATCAAGTGGATGGACTCCGTTACCAAGTGGATCTGGAGTTCAGAAAGCGCCAAGTGGCTAAGTCGTCTCCACAGCTGATACGAGTTGCCGTACGAGCACCTTTGATCGCAGAATTATCAAAGGTGTGTTGACGAGAAAACAATAAGAACACAAGAATAACTCAGGTTTTGGGCGAAGGAAAATACCTTCTCTAGATTATGAGTAGGCACTTTACAATCTCTCACAATCTTACTCTAGAATTGAAGAACAAGCTCTCTAAATCTCAATTACAATTTAATCTCTTTAGACTAAACTCTCTTATTGTTTTAAACCTAAAACAATTCCTTATATAGGTGTACAAATGAGGGTGGCAAAGTGGTAAATAACCAAGCCCAACTCAAACAAGAAAACGCGTAAATAAAGTCCTTAACGAATCTGGAAAACTCCGATGAGTCGACTCATGAACAGTTATGAGTCGACTCATGACCTCATATGAGTCGACTCATAACTGATGAGTCGACTGATCAGAAACTTTTGCTAACAGGACTTGATTTCTTGAGTCGACTCAAAACTGTATATGAGTCAACTCATGACTGATGAGTCGACTCATAAAATGATGAGTCGATCAAGGAGAAACTTTTGACAAAACAGCTACACTTCGTGAGTCGACTCATGACAGGCATGAGTCGACTCAACCTGATGAGTCGACTCATGTACATGTATGAGTCGATTCACGAGCTGAAAACTGGATTCTTCGAATCTGCTGCTCGTTGTCTTGTTCCATGCTCCAACATGTGTTCCCTTACACTGTTTGACACCTCTATTCTCATGCTATCATGAGAATCATTTATCCTCAAGCTCTCATGAGGATCGTTAAGTTCCGAAAAGAAAATACACCCATATCAACAGCAAGCTTCGCAAACCTCCTCCCAACCACCTACTAACGAATGAGTTTGTGTCAAATGAAACCATTCCACTCTTGAGGAGCGCATTCAGAAGCATCACACATTTCTTGCGCATGCCCAGATCCTTGTGTGAAAAGCACAAGAAATGCAAAAGGAAGAGGCGGTTAAGAGATCGCCGAGATCCAAACTGAAAAGCACAAGAAATGCAAAAGGAAGAGGCGGTTAAGAGATCGCCGAGATCCAAACAAATTTGGATGCTAAAGGCCAAATCAACGCCTAAGGCAAAAGTAAGCAACGTTGCTCCTCAGCCTTCGTCAACTTCGGATCCCATTCCTTCTGCCACCACACCTTCAGTAAAACCCTACGGCGACGTGGACCTCTCTAAATTTAGAATTCCGTTGGAGGGTCGCCTGAGTCTTTTACACAAAGATCAAGGCAAAGCGCCTGTTAAGGAACGCTTGGGACCGTTGAAGGAACCCCGAGCAACCATCCAGACTGGGGGTTGTACGCGATATCCTAACAAGTTGATTCTCGTAACTACCCGCGTGGAGATGCCTGCACAAAACCAGGAGCCCGTTAAAATTTCATCCTCATACGAGTGTGATTCCAAACGTGTGACTCCTGATAAAGGCAATAAAGCGCTACCTATTCAGAAGAAGACGCGTCGAACAGACGACATCGTTCTATCTGAGGAATCAAACCAACAGCCGATAGGTTGCTCTGACCGCAAAGTCGATGAGTTGTACTATCAGGCTGAGGGTATGAACAGACCTCGAAAGAGAGATTCCCGGGAGATGGACTTTCATTGTCCCTGTACCAAGATAATCAGGGCAGTATTATCAGTGTGTAGCTACCCCAAGACCGCTCCACAAAGGGTATCGGTATATGAAAGGATCTCTATCATAACGTCCAAGTCCAAGCCAAGGCGTTTCTATAGAAAAAGATCAGCTGCGCAAGATGATGAACTCCCAAAGGTCACCGTCAATATGGTCGATAAGGAGAAGTCAACGCGAAGTTTTAATCCCCGACATTTTTTGGACATATACCAACGTATAACTCCATTACGCGCAGGAACTACTAGGCGTAGGGACTATCAGAGGATGAATAGCGGATTATCCTCGGAAGATGAAACATCAGATGCGAACTCTGCCATCGCTTCTGACAATACAGTGTCCAGCATAGGATAATCCCGTGAGGCGTTTATGGTCAACACCGAGAAAATGGCCAAAATCATCGAGGATGCCTTGGCTAAGTAAAAAGAGAACTTCAAGTTCAAAATAGAAATGACTATGTTGCGAATGAGGGAATAGCATGATCAACAGATCCAAACCTTGTTGAATCAGATAGGTGAATCCAGTCGTCGCAATAATGTTAGTCAAGCAGCTAGCGATTCAGATGTGGATGAACACCTCGATGCAGATAACCCTCCCGTTAACCAAAATGCTGGGAGTGGCCCCACTGAGAATAACAACGTCGGGGGTGGTTTCATCAATAATGACAACACTGAGGGTGGCCGCGATGTTCCTCCTCTTAGAAATCGACCAAGGAAGGATACGAGTGAGGATGAAAAGATAAAAGACCTCGAGAGCAAAGTCAACGCTCTGATGTCTACTAGAGAGGTGAAAAAGACTGGTATTCTGTGTCCTTACCCAAGAGAGTGGGATTCGATACCGTATCCCGTGAAGTTTAACCTGATCAACTTCACGCTATTTGACAGAAAGGGTTCCCCCACTAGCATCTAATCTACTTCAAGTCTCACTTGGGTGTGATTTCTGAGAATGAATCCCTAATGGTTCGGTCATTCATCGGCACCCTTCGCGGAGCTGCCTTCGATTGGTACCGTCATCTCAAACCTGAAAGCATCAACAGCTGGGATGACCTGGAAAACCTGTTCCTCACTCACTTTTTTGATGATGATATCGGGGTGTCAATCAGGACACTCTTCGATGAGAAATAGAAATACGACGAGACGGTCGATGACTTCGTCAAGCGCTTCCGGAATAAGGTGATGAACTGCCGAGATCCGATCACAAATGACTTCATCCTCCAAACCTGTCACAATAATCTCTGTTTGGATGTGTTGGAAGTTATGGGAGTAGCACCATCCTATACTTGGAAAGAGTTGAAAATGCACGGAGAGCAGGCCGAGCGCTTCCTCAGAAGGAAGAAAGCCGAGAGAAGCCAACCGACGGTTAACCCTCCAAATTCAAGCTTCGTCTCCCGTAGTAAAGGGAAAGCCCCTGTAGCTGTTGTTGATGCTAATCAGACGTCACAATAGCAATCTCGGAGACAACAAAAGACTTCGGATCCGAGACTCCAAAAAGAGTACTCCTTCAAGCACGAGGACGTTCGCCAGTGTTTTAATATCGGCCGAACATGGTCGGACAACCGTCGGGATACTGTCGGATTGGGTGGTACGAGTCGGGCTAAATCAAGTCGTATATCGTTTTTCAAGAGGAAATCGGAAATATCGGGTATAAATCGGATATGTCGGCCGATTTTTCACCTTTGATATCGGTTTACAGAAGTTTTGGATTTATTGGGTTTGGGTTTTCACAAAACCCAAACCCATTTGACCGCTGCTAATCATTTCAGGGACTTTTATACGAAGCCGAACCATTTCAGGGACTTTTATACGAAGCCGAAAAGGAGAAAGGAAGTCATCCTCAGCTGAAAAGGAGAAAGAAAAACATCGCTTGAGAAAACTAGGGCTACAGGAGGACCGCCTTACCCTCTCTCTCTCTTGAGGCATCGTCAGCCGCCTTCGACCGCGTCGACCGCCTTCAATCTTCAACGCCTCTTCGACGACATCTTCGACCGACCGCATCTTCGAGTTCCACCGCATCTCCGACCGCATCTCCGATCGCCCGCGTTGTTCCTGAGGTACGCCTCTTTCTCTCTCCCCCCTTCTCTCTCTCTCCCCCCTTTCTCTCCCCTCTCTCTGAGTCTGAGCGCCGTGTGTGATTCGTTACGGGATTTTTTTTTATGTGGGTTTATGGAAAACGAAGTGGGTACTGTGACTTTTTTATGTGTCCTGTGAAGTTTCATGTGGGCTTATAGAAAACGAAATTGAAAGGAAAGAAGTTGGGTTTAAGTCTTTATGAACAGTGTATGATATTTGTAAACAGTAACGCTCAAAAACAAATTGGGTTTAAGACAGAGAATTATGAACAGTGTATGATATTTGTAATTTTGTCTAACAACTGAGAATTATTTTGTTAGGATATTTTGAATTAATTAATATGAAAGATTGATGGAGAACTTGTTGTAACCTTGTTTAATTAATATGAAAGATTCAATCTCTTAGTTTTTAGTAATCCTTGTTTATCATCCTTGTTTATCATTTAATAATCCCTGATTTCTCGTAATAATCCCTGTTTATCATCTTATGATATAAATATTACATAAGATTCTGTTTGCACTTTGCACTTTGGTAATCCCTGTTTAATAATCCCTGATTTCTTCTTCATGTGACAGTGGTAGCAACTCAATGGATAATTTTTTTCTGTTTGCACTTTACAGATTCTGTTTCTGTTTGCACTTTGCTGATTCAGTTGTGTGACTGTTGAGTGGTGATTGCTGAGTAAGAGGACTTGTTTCTCAAAATCAGGTAAGCCTCCTTCTTGAATTTTTCCCCTGTCAAATAAAATTAATTAATAGTTAGTAATTGAATTATAAATATGTTGTTTAAATCTGTATTTGTATTATTTTGTAGAATCATGTCTTCTGAAGGACAAGGATCTACTAGACCGCCAACAACATCAAAACCGGGAGGTAAAGATCCATGTTGGCTATATGGGGAGAGAGTTGGTTCTGATACAAGTAAAGTTAAATGCAAATACTGCACTCAAATTCTCAATGGCGGGATTAGCCGATTCAAACAACACCTAGCAGGAAAGAGGGGAAATTGTGCGCCGTGTGTGAAAGTACCCGATGATGTTAAGGCAAAAGTTTCTGAAATTTTAGATAATGCTAAGAAGAGTAGGGATGAGAAGGAGATGAAGATGCATAACTTGTTGAGTGAGGTGCATATTGGGGAGGATGAGGAGGAGGATAACTCCATCACATTGAGTAGTCAAAGAAGCTCGTCATCCTCCCACAAGGTAATTGGACCAATGGACTCCTTCGCCGCTCGTTCTCCCGAGGAGATTGCCCAAATAGTAGGAAAGGGGAAACAACCAACGATGGACTCCAAACTTAAGAAGAAGAAAAGGGAGGATGTATTGCGATACGTCTCCAAATGGTTCTATGAAGCCGGCATTCCATTTCATACCGCCACGCTTCCCTCTTTCCATCAAATGCTACAAGCTATTGGCTTGTTTGGAAGTCATTTGCAAGCTCCATCCATGTATGAACTGAGTGAGACATGTTTGCAAAAGGAAGTTGAAGAGACAAAAGAAATTGTTGAAAACTTTAAAAGGACTTGTGTTGTCAATGGTTGCTCGATAATGACCGATGCATGGAGTGATCGGAAGTCTAGAAGCATCATGAACATAGTTGTACATTCTGCTGGGAGAGCTTGTTTTTTATCTTCACATGATGCATCGGCCGATAAGCACGATGCTAAGTATATCTTTGATTTTGTAGACAAGGCTATTGATCAGATAGGGGAGGCAAATGTGATACAGATAGTCACTGATGGAGCTTCAAACAATATGGCAGCTTCTAAGTTATTGCTTGAGAAGAGGCCAAATATATTTTGGACGACTTGTGCTGCACACACGGTGAACTTGATGTTGTGTGATATAGCAAAGATAAAACCCATTCGTAATGCCATTTTAATGGGGAGGAGTGTATCAGTGTTCATATATAATCACACCAAGCCTCTTCAATTATTTAGGGAGTTCACTAAGGGTGATCTTGTGAGACCGGGAGTTACAAGGTTTGCTACGACATTCCTTTCTCTACAATCATTAAGAGATCATAAGAAAGAGATGAGGCAAATGTTTATCTCTGACAAATGGACAGATTGTAGCCTTTCAAGAACATCAGTGGGTAAAAAGGTATATTTTAAATTAAAATTTTTAATTGCATTTATTTTATTCATTTGATCATTTATATTTCATTGATTTGATTTTTTTGTATGTTTGTAGGTTGCGGAGATAATTGCTAGCAACAAGTTTTGGGATAATATAGACTTTGCCCTCAAAGTATTCACTCCTCTAGTGAAGGTTCTTCGAAGAGCGGATGGTGATAAAATCGGTTCGATGGGATTTATATATGGGGACATGTTGGTGGCTATGGAGGAGTTGAAAGTTCTTTCCCGATGACCATGCGACTTTCACAAAGATTGGAAATCAAATACCTAATTATCAAGAGCGCCTAGGGTCATTTGGGGATCAATTTGCGAGGCGAAGTGCTATTAAGGGTGATTGTCCGGGTAAATTTATGTTCTCATTCAAATTAATTCATTGACCTCTTTTTTGAATTTATAAGTTACTAATTTTTTTCAATTATGAATTGACTAGTTACTTGGTGGAGGCTTTATGGAAACGATACTCCCGAGTTAAGGAAGATGGCAATGAAGATTTTGGGCTTGACAACTAGCTCTTCGGCTTGTGAAAGAAATTGGAGTACATTTGAGATGGTAACATTATGTCTTAAATTTTAATCATCTTGTATGCTTGTATTGTAGTATTTGATGACTAGTTTTTTATGCTAATTCATGATTTTCTTTTGTAGATTCATACGAAGAAGAGGAATAGACTAACTCATAAAAAACTTCATGATTTAGTCTTTGTCAAGTTCAATGCAAAGTTGAAGAATAAGCATGCCGTCCCAAATAGAGATCCTTTAACAGCCTACGATGATGAGGAAAGAGTCACTGAATGGTTGTTGGGTGAGGAGGAGAATAATAGTGATGATGAAGTATTTCCGGGAGAGTGTTTAACTTTTAGGCAAGTTGGAGATATTTCGGGAGCTAATCCAAGGAAGAGAAAGAGTGGAAGGTTGCAAACTTATAAAAGAAAGAAGGGATCATCTTCATCGAAAGGAAAAGAGCCGATGGAAGATGATGAGGAAGAAGAGATGGATGCGTTCTTCACGGAGTCGGATGAGGATGCTAATGCTACTTTTGAGGATGATGATGAAGATGGATTCTAGACTTTCTAGTTATCTTATCTTTTATGTTATTATGGATTTGCTCTTGAATGTTAAACAATTTTAAACTATTTGTAGCTTTAAAAACTTGTTTGTATGTTTTGATTTGCTTATGTTTGATATGTATCTTGTGAGTTGTGATCTCCATTCTATATGTTATATCTTATATGTTATTTGCTTTATTCTTTACATGCTATTCTATGTTTACTAACAATGTTTTCTCATTTTGTAGGTCAAGTACCCAAATTGTTTCAGGATGCAATCGAGAATCAAATTTCTACAATTGGTTAGTGATCCTAAACATCATATATTGTTTACTTTTTTATATGTCTAGTCTATAAAATTTATAAAGTATGTTTATATTGAATTTAGGAATGCTTAGATTACATTTAGGACATGATATTATACATATACGGATCACCCGATATGGCAATCCGATATTTAGTCCATGTCCCCCGATATATCCCCGATTTCCGCTATCCGACATGGATTTCAGCCGTCCGACATGAACCCGACATCCGATAATTAAAACCTTGGTTCCAGCCATTTTCGAATCCCTCCTGAAAAACAACAAGATCAAGCTACCACCTATCACAAATCAGGAGGAAGCTAATAATACTTCGGATTGAAAGTACTGTGTGTACCACAGGAGGACCTTCATCCCACCAAGGCTTGCTTCGCTATCAAAAATAGCATCCAAACCTTGGTTGAAGCCAGCGTCATAACGCTAAATTAAGCTGAATCAAGACTCCGACAAGTATAAGAGTATAAACTGCTCCTTCCGACACTCCGAAGAGTATATGAGTATAAACTGCTCCTTCGAAGACTCCGACAAGTATAAGAGTATAAACTGCTCCTTCCGACACTCCGAAGAGTATATGAGTATAAACTGCTTCTCAATACTCCAACATGTATAGAGTCTAAATTGTTTCCTTTCTTTCACGAGAAGTTTCTGGAAGAATATCGTATGTGATATTCTTAAGGATAACCCGACCGTTCAGCTGAGTACAATGTTAGATCCAGTTTCACAAAAAAAGCTGGGGGTGGATGTAACGGGAAGTTCCCGGAAGAATGTTATGTGTAATATTCTTAGGGATAACCCGGTCACTACAAGAAGGTGATGAATAAGAAACTCTCACACAAACTCCCGCTATATCGGTGCACTCGACACCCCTATTTTTAGAGTCCGGACATAGTACTCGGAATTTTAGTCTCCTGATCATTGACAATTATCAAACCCCTTCGTGTTAAGTATTTATCACTTAACACCAGGGACTCTCTTCGATTGATTTGTATGAATCAACACTCCCATTGTAATTTGTACTCCTACTCTACTGTTCATTTGGTCAAACCTTCCTACAATTAGGACCACAACCAAAGCTAAAATCTCCTCTCGATTCCTTCCATGAACGAAAGATCCACTTTTAAATCGAATAATCAAACCTTCCTATAGTTAGGGTCACCTCAAACTTCTGCTTGGTCAAACTTTCCTACAGTTAGGGCCAAAACCATAATTCACTCTTGATAAACGAGAAATTTACCATTAGTTCGGTAATCAAAACTTCTGACAGTTAGGGCCAAAACCATAATTCACTCTTGATAAACGAGAAATTTACCTTTAGTTCGGTAATCAAAACTTCCGACAGTTAGGATTATCCGAATCTTTTCGATTCTCGGAGTTGTAGGCATTGAAAATTACCTATAGGTCTCCACGAACGGTTCAGTGTTAAAGAGCGATGATGAACGTCACTATCCGATCCACAGGAGTCCAATTGACGTCGACAAACGACTGAAGTGAATCGACGAGACGAGTTGGCACTTTCTTTGCTACCCGTATTCCACTTTCTTTGCTTTCTGGTCAAACCTATAAAAGTTAGGGCCAAAGCCAAAATCCCCTCTCGATTCCTCCAATGAACGAGAGGTCCACTTTCAAATCGAGTGATCATACTTTCCTACAGTTAGGGTCATCTCAAACCTCTGCTTGGTCAAACCTTCCTACAGTTAGGACCAAAGCCAAAATCCCCTCTCGATTCCTCCAATGAACGAGAGGTCCACTTTCAAATCGAGTGATCAAACCTTCCGACAGTTAGGGTCATCTCAAACTCCTGCTTGGTCAAACCTTCCTACAGTTAGGACCAAAGACCAAAACCACAATTCACTCTCGATAAACGAGAAATTTATCTTTAATTCGGTAATCAAACCTTCCGACGGTTAGGGTTATCCGAATCTTTCCGATTCTCGGAGTGGAGATCCCACTCTTAGTTTTATCCTTCCGGATTCTGGGGGTGGAGGTCCCACCTCGAGTTTCCTTTCCAGCTGAAGATAGAATATAAAATTCTTCCTCTTCAGCACCGGGAGATAGAATATAAAATTCTTCCTCTCCCGTTTCCTTTTCTGCCGAAGATAGAATATAAAATTCTTCCTCTTCAGCACCGGGAGATAGAATATAAAATTCTTCCTCTCCCGTTTCCTTTCCAGCTGAAGATAGAATATAAAATTCTTCCTCTTCAGCACCGGGAGATAGAATATAAAATTCTTCCTCTCCCGTTTCTCAGTCTGTCTTTGCTTTTAGAAAAGACACGATTCTCAACTTCCAATCCGGGTACTCGATGCACGGGGAATTTCATCCCGAAGCCTAAGTAGGGATAAGTCAACGCCTATCACGCGTTGCCGGGTAGTCTATTCCCGTGAGAAAGACGAAGCCTATGTATTCAAAATCATAGCACAAAGCCTCAGAGAGTTTACTCTCTTAGCACAACGTTACATGCGGAACAGACTTAAACAATCCGCATGCTAGCCCGACTCAAACGGTAGTCGGTAAAGGCTAATCAAATCCGTTGAAGGCTGGGGATTAGCCAAAAATCCTAAAGTCAACGCCTAACATGCGTCGCCGGGTAGTCTATTCCCGTGAGAAAGACGAAGTCTACGTATTCAATATCGTAGTACTAAGAGCGTTAACTCACTTAGCACAACGACACATGCGGAACGGACTTAAATAATCCGCATGCTAGCCCGACTCAAACGGTAGTCGGTAAAGGCTCATCAAACCCGTTGATGGCTGAGAATTTGCCAAAAATTCTATAAATGCGAGTCATTGGCGCACCACCTCCACTAGTTGGTCTCGTGACTTGAGCATCCAACAAGTTCAGGATAAAATCCATGCATGCAGACGAATCAACTTTAACAGTTGGTCCTGCAGCCCCAACATTCGGGACCGCGATGCTCCAATACCTTAAGAGCTTAAACTGTGTATACTCCAACAAACGTACGAGTATAAACTATGTTAATGGCGATCCGAAATCCTAAGGGTCAACGTTGGTCAACGCGTAACCCTAGGTCAACGCCGGTCAACGCGTTGCAACAAAAGTCAACGTTCGAGGATCCAAAATCCACACCCATCAACGTTCGACGATTCAAAACCCTAAGGGTCAACGCTGGTCAACGCGTAACCCTAGGTCAACGCTGGTCAACGCGTTGCAACAAAAGTCAACGTTCGAGGATCCAAAATCCACACCTATCAACGTTCGACGATTCAAAACCCTAAGGGTCAACGTTGGTCAACGCGTAACCCTAGGTCGACGCCGGTCAACGCGTTGCAACAAAAGTCAACGTTTGAGGATCCAAAATCCACACCAATCAACGTTCGACGATTCAAAACCCTAAGGGTCAACGCTGGTCAACGCGTAACCCTAGGTCAGCGCTAGTCAACGCGTTGCAACCAGAGTCAACGTTTGACGATTCAAAACCCTAAGGGTCAACACCGGTCAACGCGTAACCCTAGGTCAACGCCAATCAATGCGTTGCAACCAGAGTCAACGTTTGACGATTCGAAACCCTAAGGGTCGACGCCGGTCAACGCGTAACCCTAGGTCAACGCCAGTCAACGCGTTGCGACAAAAAGTCAACACACGGGGATCCGAAACCCTAAGCCAGCATAATGTGGCGGAGGTAGTTCAAAGTCAACTCAATGACACGAGCCAAACTCAATTCATCAGCTGCAGACTCGAGACTCCGACGACGGCCAAGCGATAAACGCAGCGCCGGAAGAACTTCGGCTATTCGTCAAAGCATCGAATAGACCAAAAATCGAATGAGCCAAGAGTTGAAGCTAACCACAGGTCCTTACGCCGACTGAAGGCCAGACCAATCACACCAAAAGTATCCCAGCCTCTTCTATAAAAGAAACGAGTCCGGAACACTTTGGAGGGGGTATCTGTAGGCATTGAAAATTGCCTATAGGTCTCCACGAACGGTTCAGTGTTAAAGAGCGACGATGAACATCACTATCCGATCCACAGGAGTCCAATTGACGTCGACAAACGACTGAAGTGAATCGACGAGCTACGTGAGCAGATAGGATTTCGGAACAACGAAGACCCGGACCAATCGGGAACCCGACGGTGTTCACAAAAGGGACAACGCCCTTCATGCCTCGATCACTCTACAGAGGGTCCAACCACCAGAGCGGATCGAACTCTTCGTCAAGCATCCAACGCACTTGGAATCACTCAAATCCGAGTTCGGACGAAGAATTTACAGGGAAAACAATCATACACCTCAAAACGGAGTCCCGGGAAGTCGAAACACCCCGGGGGTGTCTAGGAAAAGCCTAGACACCCCAGGGGTGTCTCGGCCAAGCTGAGACACCCTAGGGTGTCTCGGCCATGGCCGAGACACCAGGGGGTGTCTAGGCCCCCTAGACCCCTCCATACACCTATAAATAGCCCCCTTGGGCCTTTGTTTTGGCGGGAGGATTTTTGGAGAGCCTTGGCGAAGCCCTGCTGCAGTGAAGAGTGGTCGTGCGCTTCGACAAGGAGAGGAGAGGTCTACATCAGAGCCTTCATCACCCGTTCCCCCTTTTCCTTAGTATTACCCTTCGCCGGTAATCACTAAGAAGAGCTGATATCTCGTTTTAGCCGAGATAGACGCTTCAGGCTTCTAGATCTCACGCGGATCGACGAAGCTCTGTCCGATTTTTCGGAACAGATCTGAGTGCCAGGTGGTCCACGGATATCAACGTCCCCGTCACAGGCCAAAGACCCACGCAAGCAAGAGACCGCAAAACAGGAT